ATCAGCAAAACTTGCAGATAAGGGGCTCCAAAGGGGTACTCTGTGTGAGCAGTGGGAAAATTATCTCAAAGATAGCCCAACAAAAAAACACACACCGGAAACACTCAAACATCCCAGCCCTTCATTAAATGTGCCAACCACCTGGCTACACTGGATTGGCATCACTAAATCAGACAACACAAGAGATCTTTATTGGCTCTAACCCATCAAATGCTTACTTTGAATTAATTAATGAACTGTAATTACATCAGTACAGACAAGAAAGTCAAGTGGTTTCTAAAAAGAAAGCCTAAATTCTGCTTTTTACCTCAAAATGCACTGTCAGCTGGAAAGAGATGTGGAGCAACACTGATCCTGCTTCACAGAGTATGCAGCCACTGGCACGTGCTGCATCTACCTCTGTCCAGACTGCAGTGTCTGAGAACATCAGTGACAGGCTATAAACTCTTTGCCATTTGTCTTTCTGAATGAAGCCTAACATTTTAAGTCAGCTGTACTCTGACCATCACAATTGCAGACTACACCACTGGAAAAAGCAAATATCTAGCAATATACTAAAATAACTGGTAAATGTGAGTCCAAGGAGTTAAGACAGCAGAGCTTAGGTAAATCAGAATCGTTTATACTATGAACAGCTATTAAGAAGGGTGTTTCAGATGAGGAAAAATTGATAATGTATGCTTATGCAAAGGACAGATTAGAGCCAGTGTTGAAGAAACAGCCATTGATGTAGATCTGAACTAAGCAGAGCAATGCCCACCTGTTTTTACATTTCGTGTTTTTGTTATTTCTAAATTAACAAATCTGTGCATTCAGGAAAGAGGGTAAGTCAATTAATTTACAGAATGAAAAAGGGGCAGATTTATGATGACTAAATATGTGATTTCAACAGCAGGGATTCCAGTTTACAGCTCAGTGCACCACCTAGAATGGCTGTTCATGTCTGCAATTTCCATACTTTAAATAAAGTACTCCTAATAAATTCAACCTCCAGGTTTACATAAGGAATAAGAGAAACATCACTAATAAAATAACTGCTTATCTAAAAACCACAGTAAAAGAAATATATACACTACGTGCATACACTAAAAATGATAGAGTTGAATGGGAAAAAAGACTAAAAAAAAAAAAAGGAAGTTTTAGCATCCTTTTTACAAAAGCTCACAATAATGATGGCCACATTAAGTGCTAAATCAGCCTTCTTCATCCTCTGCTTTATTTGTACAATAAAATTACAAAATATTGGAACACCATATCATTCTGAACCTATTGCTCTTTCACTACATCTTCTGTAGAAAAAAAAGTCACAGAAGAATTCTCTTTGAACTTCTCTGTTCTATGACACTAAGTCCACTGAGACTCATAAATCCTAATGCCATTTAATCAGCCTGAAAAAATTTTAATGAGCTCTCACTAGATTTGGTACAGAGATTATTCGTAACTATGGGATCAATTAATTAATTAGAAATGGAAGAAACTGCAAAGAAATAGTGTTTTAAATTAAGGCAATGATTTACATCACTTGGAACTTTTAAAATAGAACAGATTGATTTTTCATAAGGAAGTTATGACCATTTGTATTACTAGAATCTACTTGTCTTTTTAAACAGTAGGTATAAATGGATTTGTTTGCTTTTAAACTATTAGTAAGGTCCCTTATTATACAGAAAAGCTATAGGCAAATCAACCAAAATACTGGAAAGAATGGCCTTGGCCTGCAAAGCCCTTAAGCAGGAAGATAATTAATCTATGTGGTTTTGATGACAGAAGTATATTGGAAGTATGTATAAATGTTGCCATGGGAATGTCTGAAACCCTCTGAGTTAGAGTCATATTTAAAATAAATTTATTAGTATACCATTTTGTTAGTACGAAACAAAACTTCTTCAAGATAGCATTAAAGAATTAGAGTAGATACATATGTATTGTATATATGAATGAATACACACAGACACACACAAATGTCCAGGTTATTACAAACTCTTTTAAAGCAATAATTAATATTCTAATATTTATAAATTCCAAAAGCATGATTTTAAATAATGTGAGCCCTATAAATTGAAGTGGAACAGAAAAACCTTTTTTTTGCAAAAATACTTTTGTTTCCTTTCTTCCTTTTTTTTCCCAGATCAAATCTGTGAAGTTAATCACTGAATTGCAGGATGACTGAGTCTGGAAGAGACCTCTGGAGTTCATCTGGTCCAACCCCCCAAGTTGCCTAGGTCTGTGCCCAGGCAAAGTTTTAGTATCTCTAAGTTTGGAGACTTTGCAAACTCTCTGGGCAATCTCTGCCTGAGCTTGGTCACCCTTACAGTAAAGAAGCATTTCCTTGTGCTCAGTCTCCTGTGTATGGCTGTGCCATTGCCTCTGGTTCTGTCACTGGGTACCACTGGCTCCTTTTTTACAGTCTCTCTTCAGGTATTCATGCACATTAATAAGATTCCCCTGAGCCTTCTCTTCTCTTCATCAGTAAACTGTCCTATCAACTATGTCACTAAAGAAGATGCAAAACAGGGCTGTACCCAGTACTGATCCCTGGCACACACCACTAGTCACTGGCACCCAACTAGACTTTGCGCCATGGATCACCACCCTCTGGGCCTGACCATTCAACCCGTTTTCAACCCATCTCACTGTCTGCTCATCCAGCCCATACATCAACAGCTTCACTATGACATTCTTACAGAAGGGAATGCCAAAGGCACTACCATGGTTCAGGTGGACAACAGACACTGCTCTCACCTTGTCCACCAGGCCAGTCACTTCATCAGAGAAAATAATCAAGTTTGTCAAGCATTACTTTCCCTTGCTGCAACTATGCTGATTACTCCTGATGGTTTGCTTGTCCTTACTGTGCCTGGAAACGGTTTTCAGGATTCCATCACCTTTTTTCAGGGACTGAGGTGAGGCTGAGCAGCCTGTAGTTCCCTGGGTTCTCCCTGCCCTTCAATACAGGAGTAACATTTGCTTTCCTCCAGTCTTCAAGCCCTTCTCCCAATGGCCATGGCTGATCAAAGATTATGGAGAGTGGTCTTGCAGTGACATCTGTCAGCTCTCTCAGAGCTTGAGGACCCACCCAATCAGGGTCCATGGACTTATTCATGTCCAGTTTGCTTAAGTACTCCCTGACCAAAATCCAACTATGACAAGTGTTTTTCAATTGTCTAAATAAAATGTCTGGAAAAGAACACTGTTTTAAACATTATAGCCTGAAATTTCTATAATATTCAAGAACACATTGTTTTTGCATATGTACAGCTCCAGATGGTTTTCATACAAGCTGCATCTGTGTATTCGACAGCAGAAATTGGCATATATTTTTTTGAAGTCTAAATTCTAGTAAAATACAAATTTTCTAGTATTTAATCTCCAGATCACATTTTGATTACCTGACTGATTTAATTAATTACTTACACGCCTGTGCATTGTTACTAGTGTGGGAAGTTCCTATGATCATGTATCACAAGAGAGTAAAACCTAGGCTGAACTTGCAGGGTGTATCGTGTTTGAAATTCCTGTGCTATGGTTTCATCGTTATGCTTATTTAGTTTCTAGTTAAGCAAAGACTGCAAATCAAAAGGTCAACATTTAAGAAATTCCCAGATGGACAATTATGGCATCCTTCAATGACAAGTAAAGCAGACATCACATCCATTTATATATCACTTTAAATACTTGTCTACTTGCAGAAGTATGCCTGCATAGCAAGAGCCACAGTCTGGTATACCACTACAGCTAAATTCTGGATTTGGTTTTCTATGGCTACATTATATTCTTCGCTTGGAGCAGCACTAAAGTTTTGAAGCAAACCTGACAGTATTCACTTGCTATCTGATGTTTTGTTCTACTCAGTAGTTTTGGTGTGTACTAGGCTGCTCTAGCAGGAAGCTACAATGGAAGGTCTCTCCAGGGTTTCAACAAACAACCTTCAATGCTTAAGTAGACATAATGCACGTATGAAGAATAACAAGAGAACTTGCCACAGGAAAAAGAAATCAAACCAAACCCAAAACCAAAACCAAACCCAATTTGTTCAACTCTGTTCAATAGTAAACCACACTGCATCAAACTTTTTTTTATTCTCGGGCAACGAAAATACCATTTAGATTCTGGATGAGAACTCACATAATGAAACGTTGAAGAACCTTAGCTAATCATTCTGTATGTATTTGTGTAGTCGTTTTCCCCTCAGTAATCCTACTGAGAGACCAGTAATCACAGCCTAATGTACCTAAAGTTGTTCCTTAAAAATTAGTATGTAATGCATTTTTCTGCAGTAATGAAACTCCAAAACTTCAGAACTTATGTTCCAGTCGGGACACAGAAGAAGTGAGAAAAATATTGTAAGGATAAAGGCAATTTAATTTAAAATAAAAGTGAAGATATTATTTTAACTAACTCTCAATTTATCTTTTAAATATTTTCCCTATAGATTTCTATTACAGAATAAATTTTGGAAAGTTATATATAAGAGAGAAAAACTAAGCACATCTACTATTTGAGAAAGATTGCTGAAATTGATCATTTTTAAATTGGAAAACAAGAACTATGATCTCAGATTTTGACTGCAAGAGGAAAGACATAGCTTAGGAAAAATATATGCCCTCTTCATAAAGAAGTATCCGATGTTTCGACACTTAAGAGGTAAATCAGCCATGAATGTATGAAAAATAAACTGACCTATGTTTAAATAACTGTTTCCAAACTTTGAATAGTGATGTTAAGCTTGCAGATTTATGTATACAGCAGAAAATCATTACACTTTCCTATTACTGCATGCTACCATGTAGTAAATCAGAGCAATCCACATTACAAACACCCAATGCAGTCGGGGGAAAATCTCTTCCTTCAACAGAACAAACATCTTTGGAAAGAGAACTTGATGATTTTTATAATGTTTATATTAAATTTAAGTACTTTTTGCATGTAAAAAAAAATCCAAATATAGTCCAAACAGAATATTCCTAAATTTTCAGTTAATTTGTTCCTTCCCTTCTTACCTTCTCTGGAGGTGCAGGAGGGTGAAATCTATTTGCACAAACTAGAAATGCATCAGGCTGCGGCTTGCCACGCTTCACCTCGGGGTCATCTCCCAACACAATATGATGAAAAAGACCAAAGAACTCTTTGTGTCTGGTAGTTTTCATCTGAAATGTCACTTCAGCTGAGCTGGTGGCAACAGCTATGGGTATGTTGTGTTTGTGTAAATGACGGATCAGTTTATCAACCCCTGCAAGGCAAATAAATACATTTTTGTTTTTAGATATATGCATATAATCAGGTATATTTATTAATGTTTATACAAATTATACAAAATATTACAAAGTATGTAGCCATATTTCAACAATGCTCTCTTAATGTAATAACCTATTTCAATCAGTCAGTGTAAAAGAAAATTCTTGCTCTATCTGAAATGTTCCTTCTTCACACAAAAATCATGGAACATTCCTCAAGGTATATACTTGTTCTGTCATCAAATGATGCTTTCCTCAAAACATGTCAAAAATGTATTCAACATCATTACATAATTATACCCACTGGAAACTCATTAATCAATGTCCCCACATTGTGGAAGTTTATTATTTCAAACTCTGAGAGTTTGAGAGAATATTTTCTTTCATGTACAGTTCTGCTCCTGAAAAAAAAAAAGGAATCAAAGACAAAGAAATATACTCTTCTCACTGAATGGCATAGTTTTCATTTCTGAAGCAGGTATCCAACTGGCTTAAACCAGCCCCTAAGAGAGCTCAGTTTCTCTCTTTTGCAATTACTAAAGCAAGTAACACTGGGCAGGAGAGCAGCTGTCAGTCACAGTTGTTAATACCAGAGCTTTGTCTATTGATGCTGTGAACCCAGAGTAATGAACACCTCAAGCCTAATGGGTAGAAACTTCAATCTGATCCAGTCTTATAGGGAAGGTTAATGCAGTGAACAGTGAAAACACAGCAGTCTGTGTAAGAGGGAAACATACTTATTCTGGGCAAGTTTTGAGTTTTCTGTGCAGACGTTTCAATGCTCTTTTGCTGCAGCATTCTAAATGCTGGATACCTCTTCCAGATAAAACAACTAGCATTATCTAATGAGAGTGGATGTCTGGCCTTTATCCATTCACAAGAGAAAATCCCTCCATATCTGCAAAATCATTTCAGCTCTGCTTCTTGGCATTAATCCCAAGTGTGTTGGACATAGAACATTAGTTTAGTTTCAGATAGACTCCAGTTGACTTTTGGCTCTTTGAAACACCTTGAGAACAATTCTGTATTTTCATCTTCCAACTTCATGAATTCTTATTCTATTTTTCATGCCTGGTAATATTAAAATAATCTTATTGCCTTCCTCTTGATTCACTGTCATACTTACATCTGATCCTTGCTCCCTCAAAACATTCCTACTTCTCATGTCCATTTAATTCTTTCTTTTGCCCCTCTAGCATCTCTGATTTGCATTTCTACGTGATCCAGTCTTTCATTTCTATAAAAAACTACATTACCAGCCATACATTTTTTCCCCAAGTACAGTCATATGCCCAACGTTGTGAAGTTATAAGTACTACTGATAATAAAGTGTGTAGATTAGTGAATATGTGCACTAACCGATCCACCTGTCTGGAAATATCACTTGTAAGCATGGCTCTCTGCAGAATTCTCCTCTATTCTCCAGAATCTAATCAAACAATTAATAACTGACATTTCCAGCTCCATGCTTGTATTTGAAGATGGCCTTTAAACTTTAAATACATGCATTTCCTTGATGTTAGATTTTGAGTTGGACAGAAATAGCAAGTGCTATTCCTCCTCTAACACCAATGCATCACCCATTTAAAAGCCTTCCTATGCCCCTTAATAATATATTAAATGATTTTTTTCCCAAATGATGCTACTCTGACCACTTACTGAAATACAATGTTAAATACATGTTAACTTTTTATTCTAGGTAGTTTATGTCTTCATTCTGAAATACATGAAGTAAGTCTACATTAAATTAATGGAAGTACTAAGATGCCTTAATGTAAAGCAGTAGCCTAAATGTCTCTTCTTTAAAACAAAATGCATTCATTCTAAGGAATTTATTCTAAATAAACTGCAACATTTAGCACAGATAGCATATTGTGCTTGTAGTAAATATAAAGAAGTCTAAATATTACAAAAGCAGAAAAGTTTTCCTATCTCCTATGCCCTTGCTATGATGTAGTTCACTTTCTCTAAAGTTGTGCTTTTCAAATAGCTAATTTGCTTCAGACCCACTGCATCAGAGTTTCAGTTCATCTGTCACAGGGTATGTTTATTCTCCATTTCTATTGGAGGTAGCCAACCACAGAAAAGCACTGTTGCAGAAAGGTTATTTCTTCAGGCTTCTCTCTTTTAATTCCCCCAGCATGTCATGATTTCAGTGTGTAAATGTGTGTGCATGTGTGTACTTGCCTTCTCTTCTTGGCTTCCCACTCAACAAGGGAGTTAAAATGCAGTTGTCTCTAATATCTCCAGAGAGCAAATATTTATATTATTCACAAAATATGCTTTAATAAGAATACGCTGTTTAAAAAATTTTTATTATAGCAAGATAGATTAGGAAAAAAATACAATGGGCAAATCAGTTGCGCAGAAAAAAAACCCCCTGCATTTGGAAGAATAGCTAGCTTAACTTAACAAGCTCAAGAGAGCAGCAGTTGAAAAACATTTTCATTCCAGGTTAGCTTTCCTCTTTGTAGAAGTTATGGATCAATAAAATCCACTTCTGCTTGCATCAATTACCACCACTATAGCTCTAAACATTTTGCCTCCGCATCAAACTATTGACAGAATTATTGTATTAATTCAGCATATAATTCTTCATTAGGAAGATAATATCTTTCTCAGTAGCTTTCTTTTCTTTTTTAAAGAAAGCATCAACAGAAGGGGGCACGGGGAACTGCTTTAAAGATCTGTAAGAAACTTCCCCTGGCATATAGCATGTCATTATATCCTCTATAGCTACAAAGATTTTTAAACCAAATGACAATCAAAATCAACCAGTTAAAACCTCAATGACTATGAAGAAGTATGTTGAAAATTCCCATGATGTAGTTAACTTCTAACTTGAAGCTACCATATAAGGGACTGAGGCCCATCCATCACAGAGGGACCCCTCTGATAGACTTCCTGGGACCTCCCTTGACTCCTCCTACTAGAAAGCTGTCACATACAGCAAATTCTAGTTTTTTAATTTCTTTTTTTTTCCTTTCAGCATCTCTGACTAAGGAAAAAAATAAAGAAAAATCTAAAAAAAATAAAGATCACTGTTTCTCCAGCATAAGGATACACTCCTAATGAGGCAGACCAACATAAATTCTTCAAGAAATTGGAAAAAAAAGTAGGAATAAATATCCCACATTGCTATGATTTATTTCCAAATGTACTCTTTTCAGATAATTAAAATGGTACATTCTACTTCTTTATCTATTTAAATACGAAGTTTTAGAACAGACATGGAAGCTTACTGTATTCTAAATGTAATAAACACTGGTGACTATTAGATAGAAAAATAGATGAAAAGAATTGTAAGCTGAGTTTTGCTCCAGAAGCTGTAAAGAAGAAGGATCAGCTTTAAATGTCAGCATCTTTAAAACCCAATTAATCACAGATGTCAATGAAGTTATCAACTTTGGGAAAAGAAAAAGAAAACAAATTAAACCAACAGAAAGGAGTTATTTCTTCTGAGAACAGAGATGCATTTTAAAGAAAGAGATCAGCTTCTTTTGTTCTGAAAATTGCAGAAAAGTATATATAA